ATAGCTTCATTATTTCAATCATTTTGAATAATGGACTTTTTAAATGCCGTCCTACTAAAATAGTAAAATATCACCTCATTTGTCTTCAAATTTTCATTTCAATCCCAAATTCTTTATCAATAATTAAATTCCCATATTTACCTAAAAGTATCCGTAGGCCAAACAAGTTCGTGATTCCTTTCCTATTAGCAATAGTAGAGCCCTATAAGTTCGTGAATCCGAGTTCGTTGTTTAGAGTTGATCCATTGTGATTTATGGGGGCCCTATAAAACCCCTTCTACTTACAATGCTATTTATTTCTTGACATTGGTTGATGATTTTTCCCGAGCTGTGTGGGTCTACTTATTGCGTGATAAAAAGGAAGTTCTTCATTATTTTGTTTCCTTTATCACTATGGTTGAAAAACAATTTGAGGTGTCCGTGAAAATTGTACGGAGTGATAATGACACTTAGTTTCGTTGTATGTTGCCCTATTTTGACAGTCATGGTATTCTTTTTCAAACTTCTTGTGTTGAGACACCTCAACAGAATGGTAGGGTGGAACACAAACATCGTCACATATTGAATGTAGCCCGTGCTTTGATGTTTCAAGCCTCTATTCCTGTATTTTTATGGGGCGAGTGCGTTTTGACCGCGGTATATCTCATTAACCGCACACCCTTCGGGTTATCATGTGATAAAACCCCGTTTGAAGTCGTTATTGGTCATGCTCCGGATCTTGAACAGTTAAAAGTTTTTGGGTGTTTAACTTTTTCTCATAACCTTAAATCTCGCGGAAATAAATTTGCTCCCCGTAGTCAGAAGTGTGTGTTTATTGGCTATCCTTCCGGGAAAAAGGACTGGAAACTTTATGATTGTGACTCGGGTGACATTTTTGTTTCTCGCGATGTATTATTCACGAAGATGAATTCTCGTTTCAGCAGAAACAAGATGACCCGCCCTCGGTACTCGAGCACAATATGCTTCTCCATGATGATCCGCCCGTGATGTCGGATTCCGCAGCCACGGGTACCGATCCTCCGGTAACCCATGCAGTAGCCGAAACTAGTCATGCAGAAACCGAAGCCAATTCCACCCATGCAGCAGCTCCAGCTCTTGGTCGTAGTTTGCGACCCAAACGTTCTTCGGTACTTCTCCGAGATTATGTCACTCATCATGTTCGGAATATAAGCCAATCTCCGCCGCCATCTCCTCCTCGCCACCGCTTGTTTCTTGGAGCTCTTCTTGCAAGATATGAACCTCGCTCTTTTCGTGAGGCCATGGCAGATACCGGTTGGCGGAATGCCATGCAGCAGGAGATACAGGCACTTGAAAATAATCATACCTGGGATATGGTTCCGTTGCCGGATGGGAAACGTGCTCTTGGATGCAAGTGGGTTTACAAAATTAAATACAACTCTGACGGGACGGTGAAACGGCTTAAGGCTCATCTGGTTGTGCTTGGTAAACATCAGACAGAAGGTATTGACTATACCGAGGCTTTCGCGCCAGTAGCAAAAATGGTTACTGTCCGTGTTTTCTTAGCTATTGTTGCAGCTAAAAATTGGAAACTTCACCAAATGGATGTCCACAATGCATTCCTTCATGGTGATTTAGGTGACGAGGTTTATATGAAACCTCCACCCGGGTTTCAGCATTCTCGGCCTAATTTTGTTTGTCGGCTGAAAAAATCTTTATATGGATTGCGGCAGGCCCCTCGATGTTGGTTCGCGAAGCTCACCACTGCCCTACGCATGTACAGATTTTGCCAGTCCAAATCCGATTATTCGTTGTTCATTTATCAGAAGGATTATATACGGCTGCATATGTTGATTTATGTTGATGATTTGATTATTGCTGGCAATAATTCTTTTGCTCTTGGTCGTTTCAAACATTATTTACACTCTTGTTTTCACATGAAAGATTTGGGCATTCTGAGATATTTTCTTGGCATAAAGGTTGCCTGTAGTGCTGATGGCATCTTTCTTTGTCAAAGAAAATATACTTTGGATTTTATCTCTGAGGCTGGTTTGCTTGGGGCGAAACCTTCTTCCTGCCATATGGAGCCGAATCACTCCCTTGCTTTTGCTACTGGAGATTTATTGACTGATTCCAAATCGTACCGTCGTCTTGTGGGCCGTCTTATTTATCTCTCTTTTACACGACCTGATTTGGCTTATGTTGTTCACATTTTATCTCTGTTTATGCAGGCCCCGCGGCAGGAGCATTGGCATGCTGCTTTACGAGTTGTTCGTTATCTAAAAGGTTCTCCTGACCAGGGAATAATTCTTTCTTCTGCCTCGGTTATGCATCTTACGGTCTGGTGTGATTCCGATTGGGCAAGTTGTCCTCTCACTCGTCGTTCTTTGACTGGATGGATGATTTTTCTCGGTGATTCCCCCATTTCGTGGAAGACTAAGAAGCAACTTACTGTTTCCCGTTCTTCTGCAGAAGCAGAGTATCGATCCATGGTTGCGGTCATTGCCGAACTAAAGTGGCTACGAGGGCTTCTTCTTTCTTTCGGTGTTGACCATTCTTCCTCTATGACTTTGTTCTGCAACAGCCGTTCTGCTCTTCATATCGCACAAAATCCCGTTTTCCACGAACGCACGAAACATATTGAGGTTGATTGTCACTATGTTCGAGATGCCATTCAGGCTGGTCTTCTGGCTGCTCGACATGTCTCCACTGATGGCCACTTAGCTGATATTTTCACCCCAAGCTCTTGGGCAACGACAATTTCTCTCTTAAACAAGTTGGGCATTTTCAACCCCCATGCTCCAACTTGAGTGGGGTGTTAGAACCATATTCTTGGGCTTTGTATCTTATTTATTGTATTTAGCCTAGTTTATTATTCCTTGGGCCAAGGACTTGTATTTTCGGCCACTTTGTCTATATATACTCTGTAAATTATTGAGCAAAACAACACAATTAATTCTTTGGCAAATAAAATGAAATGTGTCTGTTAACTTAAATCAAAGTTATTTATCCAATCATCTATTCTTTTTGTAATCCTTTTGTAACATACGGATTTGCTAGTTCTTTTTGTTTTCAGGTTAGCTACTCATACCAATAGGTTAGCAAAATATGTGTGGTTATCATCGAGTCATATATTCTTTGTCAACTACATAAAATCTAAGTATAGGAGTCGATCAATATTTTTGTACATTGAGTTTAGTAAAGCTCTACTACCTCCGTCCCAAAAATGAGTTACAAAATCAAATTTTTTGGATCAACACAATTTAACTTTAATTACTTATTTAGCATAACAATTTTTATGATATTCTAATTTGGTTTTTGCGGTTTTATAGAACTTACATTGTCGTTTCCAAATATGTAAATTATAATTAGTACAAGTGATTTAACTATTTGCAAGGACGATTTAACTTTATTACTGGTCAATCTTAAAGTTCGCAAATTAAAATTCAATTCGGGAAGGAGGAATATGTGATACAAAACCAGTTCAAGTCACACTCGACTTGATAAAACGGGACTCCAACCATTGCCATGTGGCCGTGGAATTTTTAAGTTCATGAACCTGAATTAAAATATCACAGGAAAGTGTCGGAAAAAGACAAGAGTGGACATTTGATCCAATTTAAGTCAATGATAATATTTAGGGTTCACAGGTTGAGACTGATAAACACCATAAATATAGAGAGATGGGGCTGAAAGTGTTCCATCAAGAATTCCAAATAGGCCATGGGAGACAAAAAAAACTCAAATTGAGTCCACCAAGGCAAATAGTCTTCAACAAAAAGCAACTTGGTGGTAACAATGTTAGTGATAGATGAAGCACTAAAACTCATACCTTGAATGAGAGCACAAACGACATATGCAGAGGCGGTGTGTGGAAAAAGTTTAAAATTAGGAGTATTTATAATTTTTTTTACCCCCCCACCCCACCCCACCCCCCAAATGGCCCGGACCCCACCTCCAACCCACCCAACGGCTATATAGCCGTTTGGGAAGTGGGTGCCCAGCCAAACGGCTTTTTTGGCTTTAAAAAGAAAAAAAATTAAAAAAAGTTAGCCGTTGTGACCCGGGCCCAACCCGGCCGAGTCGGGTCACCTTTTATCGGAACCGAGCCCGCCCCCGCCTGCACCCCCGGTTCGGGTAAACACCCGTTCCCGGGCCCGCACAGTACCGGGCCATTCCCGGGCCCGCACAGTACCGGGCCATTCCTGGGCCCGCACAGTACCGGGCCGAGTGGCCCAAACCGAATCCACCAGTACGTGCGACGTACAACTCCGCAGAGGGAAGCAATAGTGCAGGAGTGCCAGACAACGTGGGGCCAATGAACTATTCTCAGGTATAAGCAGCTAAACTTAATTCGATCTTGGAATCTTCCAGCAATCCAGCATGAGTAGCAGTGGGCCGGTGGCAGTTGGAGGTGAGGTGGTCCATTTGAAAATCGGGTGATGATTGTGCCACGGTCAACAACAAGGAAGACGAAGCCACGCAGCCCGCGCTAACCACTAGAACCTGGTGGCTTCAAGGACGCTGCAGACACGATGGCAGAGGAGATAGGGGCAGCGGCAGCAGTTGTATGTAGGCATGGACCGGTCCCGGGCCGGGCCAATCCTGGGCGGACTTTTTGGGTTTGGCTTCGGGCCCAAAACCAGCCCACGTTTCCACTGGGTCTGGGCTGGTCACCGAGCTTCTTCATTTTTTTTTGCTTTTCTAATTAACCCCTGACCCCCCACCCCCAAACACCCAGCCCAACCCGGGGAAAACGAAAAAAATGAAAAAAAGGCCCAAACCGGGCCGGGCTGATTCCTTTTTTGAGTGACCCGAGCCTGCCCTGGGTAACCCCCGGACCGGGCCTACCCGGACCAGTCTCTGGCCGGGCCACCGGGCCGGTTCCAAACAGTGCCGGGCCGGCCACATGCCGATCGGCCTAGAACCGGTCCACCACTAGTAGTAGGGTTCATGGGACTGAAAAAAAATTAATTATGGTTAAACCTAGAGTTCTTGATACCAATGGAATTTTTTTATGAAATTTTTTTGATCATGTTCTTTATCAAGTCTAGTTTATACATACCAAATTTCAACTAAAAAATCAATTGGGAAGGCAGATAAAAATGTTCAAAAAAACTACTGTTTATATGATGCTTACAAGTTACAACATCTACGATTTCATTTTGGAATGCCTAATTGCTTACATCACTGATACTAGTATAACAACAGGTCAACCTCCAACCAAAACATTATTACTACGTATAATACAACTATGGTTCGGTTCTTACAGGTAAACAAAAATCAGAACCAAAGCCATGCCCTCCAGGGTCCAACCCGCGCAAAACCAGAACAAAGCTAGATAGTTTCCTGATGCCCAAAAGACAAACTATCTACTGATCATCCACAGACAAGTAAGGGCCATCACATTTGCAAGAATCAAACCAAGAATATCTACGGGTTGATGAAGTAGCTGAGTGACCCCCTTTACCATATGTGAGACACTATGAAAGCTTCATTAGAAAGATAATCTGCAAAACGAGAAACAGATTGTACAAACTAGCACCAATATGGCAATATGTGCACTTCACTTTGGGTGATGTGAACTATACACAGTCACACACATGAAGAAATGAGAATCCATCTTAGGAGAGATGGAAGAATCTAGGGGCACCAAAAATACCAAGCGTGCAAAAAAAAACAAATTAAAACCGTGCAATTTTTGTAAATAAATTATAAACTACACCACAGCCACCACTAAACTACAATGTTCAGCGTGTGGAATAATTTGCACTATTCCCTCATACGCACACAAAGTATGATTCTAAGCAAAACCACAAGCTGTATATATGTGCATATATAATCAACGATAGACAACAGATAAATTACCACGGTTAATGTATCAAACCATTTGTAAATAATAAAAAAAAATTAGGGGTTAAGCTACTCAGGAAGGATTTACTGAGAGTCAAAAAACACTTGAGTTTCTTCACTGGTTCAGTTGTTCTTTGTAGCTCAAAATTTGTATGACTGGGTGAAATTTACCATAAAAGAAACTCGAAAATGTACACACTGAAATAATGTAAAGAGAACATTTACCTCTCCACTGCTTCTTTAATACTAGGAAAGTGATCAGCCCATTGTGAATATCCTGCACCAATCATAAACAAATAAACCAATCATATTAACCCTAGTTTGATTAGGAGGTTTCAGAGAGGAGCAGAAACGCAGAGTTATATTTATTTAATTAATTAGCATGTTAAATTTATTCTTACATTTAAAAGTATAAGACATTTGTTTTCTGACATTTAATGGTTGAAAATAAAGTGTGAAGTTTTATATCGGGATGAACGATTTAATTAACCATTTATATAGTTGTTTTCTAGTCTAAAGTTAACAAATACAGCTATAATAGTAAAAAACCCGCCTTCCCTCCAAAATCCCCCAACAAGAAGTTATGTTTCCCTATTCAATCCATAAAACAGTTTTTGTGGATAGCTACTAAAATAGTCAAACAATTCAAATATGAAATTATTCAAGTTAAATGAACAATCAAACCACATTTAAAAGTTATAAGTAGGCTTAAAGGCTTGAAGCAGTTGTACCTTAAAAAAAAATAAAAGTGTGTAATTGGTCAAGTCTTTTCTCTTTCCGAAGATGGCATATGTACAAGAGAAGAAAACCATTTTCATTACAAAACAACCAGACAAGGAGATAGAAGGATACCAGAACTAATGATCTTATGAAGATCTGTTTCTCTATTAGTATCTTCAGATGTCAGACCCTGGAGTCATTCCACAGATTTATTAACTAAAACATGTTGAAATGAAAAAACAAATATGGCAGAAACATGCCCTTTGAGCCAAACACACACACACTACTGAATATATTCTATATTTGTGGCTTCATTGGTGGTTCAAAACGTAAACCAATTCAGTTTATACCCAACTCAATAGATACTACTTATAAACATGGCCGCGAGACTTATAAACCGTTTGTTTTGTTCTTTAGTGTGTTTTGGTAAAAAGTAATGAATTGTAATGTAACTTGACCAAATGCACGAACAATGAAAATTAACACTGAAAATATACTACTCATGTCTTATAAAAAAGACTCATGTTAGTAATACTAGAATCAATATTACAACTAACTTTTATTGTGACAAAGGGAGTATGACTGTGTTGCATTACGCTAATTTTTAGTTTATGAAAGAAATAGAGAAGAGAGAAATGTGTGGAGAAAGAGAGGAAGAAGTGAGAAATAGAAGATAAAATAAATATAGTAGAGTTTAGGTGTCTGGTACAAGCGAAATGGAGAAGGAATAGGAAGGGAAAAGTGGTGGAATCCACTATTCATAGTGGTCATGGCGCACGGTGATCGCCATGGCTCAAAGGCATTTTTCATGGTGCATGGCGATGGCGCATATATGAATGGCGCATAAAGCGCATATGGCGCTATGGCGACGACCAGTTTTTCATGGCAATGGCACATACGGCGCGCGCCATATCTAGCCATTGACTACTATGCCACTATTTTCATCCGCTCTTCACTATATCTCGACGCCAACCCAGAGAAGTTTCTCATTTCTCCCTTGTTTATCTCCCTCAACATTTCTATCTTTTTTCCTGATTCGCCGAAAACAAAGTGTACATGTGTTTATCCAACAACACGCTGAAAGTTCTTTACAGCTAATCGCAGAAAAATGAAGCCACATCAGCAGTGTCGTAAATTCTATTCATGAAAACTACCTGCCCGCACAGTGTCAAACTTCTTTTGATGAGCTTTGACAGACTTATCAGCTTTCCACTGTCAAAGTTTGAATGATTAACAAGAGCCGCCTCACATGTTGCACTGAGTATCAGGGAGCAAATGCTTGAAGCCAGTAAAATTTTAGGACAGTCATCCATATCCTCTGAGTTCAAAATTAAAAGTTAAGAAAAATGTACCTTTCCTTCAAAAGGATTATTTGGCAGGAAAAAAAAGGATTTTAACAGTAAATACGCACTTCTAGTGCTTATTAAGATTGGTGCTTTTTCAGAAATGCAATTGACGTGTTTAACAAGGTAAAAGTGACTACCAGTAAAAGAACACCCTGGAGATCGCTTTTTCAGAAAAGCACTTTAAGTGCATAAATGAGAAAACGCCTACCAAAAAAGTACTTGCACCATGGAACTATGGAAGCTAAGATGGTGATATGGGTGTTAAGCAGAATAACGAAGCAATATGTTGCCTGTTTTATGCCTTCCAAATCAAATTCACTATCTTTGCAATCAATTCATTTATGTACTTTTTACTAGAATGGGAAGGAAGTGTAAAATAGGTAGACAATGCAAACGTGAAAGAAGGAGAAACATCCAACCTTTAAAAGGAAATGAAATATAAATCAAATTTAACATACTCAGCTTGACAAGTTTGTGGTATGACAAGTTGACAACTGAAGATATTACCTGCCCAACGTGACAAAACTCCCAACAGTTTGACAAAGATGGGGTCATGCAATGGGAACTGAAATTGCTCTCTCTAACATAAATAAAAGTACAAGAGAATAGAGTTACGCAATGCCAGCATTTTTACATACATATATTAAGGACAAATTCAGAAGAGCAACCTTTAGAAGAAAATTTAAAATGGTATCGCATGCCAATAGTATAGAATCATCGTTCTCATTCTTGTCACCATTATTAATGAAATCAACAATGCATCCAACAATCTGCAAAACAATGGAAATTCTTAATAAATTCTCTCACAGAAGTGGAGAGGGATGAAAATACATTTCCAAGATAATAAAATATACAAAGTAACTTATGAAATTTCAACTTTCATGTCAAAAAATAATGATAAAACAGTAAAATAAATGCTTTGAGCATGAAAAAACAGAAACTGAGGACAAGTCAAGCAAGAACAACCACTGTTCAATTGCAGACTAACCACTCTAAATTCCCCAGAAGATGCTAAAAATTTACACCCATCAGTCTCGGCTGTTAATTGACATAGCATCGGAAGCAAGAAGCAAATGGAGTAGAACGGACTGCAAGTATCAAATGAAATTATCCCTATCAGACAATAAATATCCACGGGTTTAAAAAATGGTAACTCTAAGAACAAGGTAGCAATAGGAACAACTATCAGAGAAAATTTAAATACTTCACACCTAAGCTCTGTTTCCCCTTCTACTGAGAGCATGAAACCTAAAAGCTCCATCACTTTTTCTCTGCATGCATCAGGAGCCTCTGCTAGATAACTGAAAATAAATGCTGGATCATTCCTCAATAGAATATGATTAACAAGGATAAAAGAGTAACTGCTCTAATACTTGTAGTTCGTTCACTGACTGCTCTAATAAGGATATGCTGGAGGCAAGGCTGGTCGCGTGGAGGGCCTGAATCCAGATTGAGCCTCCATAATGGAGGACCAACCCTCAAGGACCAACCAGGGTTGTTTTAAAAAAAATGAAATGTAAAAATAAATACTGATATTTGAAATTTGATTTTCAAAAACATAATACTTGAGTATATTGTTTAAATTGACAAATATTGGTTAACGTTAAAACAAAGGTCATGAAGCGTATTTGAATGTTGTCTTATCCTATGAAATTATTCATTGATAGCAACATTTTCAATTTGAGGAGCATAAAATGACCTCAGAGAGGGCCACTAAATATGCATGCATATCTTTTGCTGAGTCTAAAATGAAACAAACAAGGGAATTGCAGAAAGGGAAAAGGCTGGCTGACTGGCAAATTCATTTTATTTGAATTGTGAACATACATATTCAAAAAATGTTCAGCTCCAAGACCAGTCCTATTCCAAGAACTGGGCATGGGTTTCAAATGGTGGGAACAAAAATAGGCCTGCTGGCCGGCATTAGTTAGAGGGTGTGGCTAGTACCTTCCAACTATTCGCACTGATGCTAAAAGATCATCTCCCTTCCTCAGCCCATGTACCTGAAGAGATAATTGTAATAAGCATTGAGTATCTCCATGGAAGCTAATCAGTTATGCTAGTAGATACCAGTACCTTGGCATCTTTGAGGAAGTCCAGAATGACATCAGTTGTCTTGTTGAGACCAAAAATAATCTTGATTGAAGTACTCTCGCTAATGATGGAATTCTTGTTTGGCTCTGTTACAGTACATAATAATCATAATGATGATGGTGATGGTGATAGCAAGACAACAACAACAAAATTAATATTTAATATTACGAATAATAATACAGTTTGGTTTATTGCTATCTTCAAAAATATTCTGGTTTTACACAGAACTATAATATGGAAACCCCAATGAAAGACCAACTGCGAGCACAAGTAGCAAAACACTAGCAGCATCTTGTTTATTCCAATATCAGATTCTAAAGCATAGGTTTGAAAAGGGAAAAATCTAAACTAAGGGCTTCTAGAGAAGAAGCTGGATATTCTCTTATCTAGCCTGGAAACAATTTTCTCATTTTAGCCCAACTCATGCTTTTTGAAGTAAATAGGTGTGGTGAAACCATCATACAAGAAAGAACAAAGAAATTTAGAAACATCATACAAGATAGTTGTATGAGATGTGCTTTTAGTTTAGGTCTTAACCCTACGTGCTGAACTAAACTAGAATACTTTAAAAAGTACATAGATCCCTCCAAATTTCAAATGACCACTTTTATTGGGCATACATCTTAATAAAAAGAAGAAGAATTTATTGTGTAGTTGTCACTAATTTGAGACACCTCTATGTAAACGGCAGAATAAAGATTAAAAAACCACCACCTTAGATGTGTGCCTCGCATTAGTTAATCCTATGAGCTAGTAATTCTTTATACAGGCAGAGTAGTGTGTATATTTAAATGCAGAGAGCTTGTGAAACAAGTAAAGGTAAAATAAATAGAAGAACCATATACCACAATGTAAAAACCCTTGAATGCAGTGAAAGTTAAGACCAAAGAGGTCTTTCATTGCTTATGAAAGAAACATTCTGTTTTCAATTTATGCTCTCTTGAAAGGAATTTGTATATGATATACGGTATATCCAAAAACTGCAAAATAACTACAAAGTTTGAGAGGGATTTGTACATGGTATATACTACATGGTATATGACATATCCAATAGTAGATTAGCTTCAATACCTTCAGCTTCAGCAAACGATGATAAGAGTTTGATTACTTTTTCCAACAAAGAGAAAGCAACACCAAGATTCTTTTGCTTAACTAGAATCTTATCAGCTGTTGATGAAGAGTCCTTAGAGGACTCATACTTCAAATAACCAAGCTCGTTTAAAATGACATCAATTTCAACACGGGTTGACTCCAAAACCAGCAGTAGACATCTGAAGAGCAAAAGTGTATGTAACAATCAAACTCTGAGGAATAATTTTGATGGTTAGTAGTTTTTAGGGGTAATTTGAGTTTGCACCCCATTTTATTGTTCAAATTGGACTTTGCACCCCAGTTTTAAAAATCTTTGCTTTTGCACCCCAACCCCATAAGAAAAGACAAAAATGCCCTCGATTAAGAATATGTTGAAGACCAACAAAATTGTTGATGGATGGGGCATTTTTGTCTTTTCATATGGGGTTGGGGGTGCAAAGATTATTAAAAATGGGGTGCAAAGTCAAAGTACCCCTAGTTTTTAAAGGGAAAAATGGTACTAGTTCAACCCCAACTGTTTCAGAGTTACCTATCTGGAGAAAGAGAATATGTAGCATCACGTAAACACATCTCCCCAATAAGCCACCTTTCACCGACAATAGACATGACACACTCAGACAAGACAAGTGCCTGAAACTTTGATGAAGGTGCTGCATGTGAAAAAAGGATAAATAAGAGCTCAACCAATTCTATGGGCCATCTTTTAAGGTTGTCAGCACACACAAGTAGAGGGAACATACCAACTCGGTTTTGCAGAATATCTACGCTGCCAATTCGGAGGTTAGTTGTCCAGGCATCATTGGGAAGTAAGCGAAGAGCATCATGAACTGGTGCCTGAAAAATAGCCAGCCAAAGAAGGTAGAAAAATACTTTGTGCAACATATTATGTTCCCACTGACAAAATTCAAAACCATCAACTGATTGAGAGCTCAGGTTCAAGAAAAGACACTTTTTCTACACAAATTGTTTTATAGAACAAGGTAGTAAAACATGGAAACTAATAATCTGATGTATAGCTGTTCCCACAAATAATTTGCAACATCAAACTAAGATTCTAATACACAGCAGTAATAGGAACCGTTAACAATGGGATAAAATATTAATTGTATGCATATTTATAAATAAGGATGAAAATGCTTAGTTTCCACAAAGATTCCACGGAAAGTTGGAAACTAATCAAGAGCCATAGAGTACAAAACATCAACAAAAACAACACCCAAGCCTTAGTCCCAAAAGAGTTTGGGGTCGGATGACGTGAATTGTCACATGAAACCGGAGCTAAAAAGATAAGAAAAATAAGAAAGATAAAAAGATGAGATTCAGATAAAAATGAATAAAAATCAGATAAAATGATAAAGAACATAAGAATGATATAGAAGATAAAAAGATAAACGGATAAAAAATGATTAAAAGAGATCAAGAGCCAAAGAGTGATGTGAAAAAAATGAAAACAGTTAAGTGCACAAGATACTTCTAAGAGCACAGCATACAATGTGGACAACTGTACTTGAGAAATGCATACGTGGAAGCACAAAACATACAGAATACTTATTTGACATGATTGAAGATAGCAAATTAAGCACTTCAAATTTCAGGGCATTTTGTAGTATGGCAAATTGCTTTGATAACACGGCAACCTGCAAGAAAAGTTAAAAAAAATACTTTGTAAATAACAAATATATGTACATCAAGAAAAAAATAGAACAAAATATTAAGTACCGAATTAGGGTAAAGATTAGTAATTGATACAAATATCAAGCAGCTATCCACTCACCAACGAGGCCAGTTCTCTTGCATACTCAGAGTAAACTTTTTCTTCATGAGCAGCAGACACTGAATGTAAAATCTCATAACACTCTTCTAGGAGAGATGATGATACTGATCTGCAAGATCAGCAAACACCGCAATCAGCAAAATAGCACGATTAAGTATGGACAGTGGATTTCTAATCATGCATAACAGAAATAGCACGATTAAACAGAAATAGCGAAAACAAGAAACAACATCACCTAATCGTCATTCAAAACAAACAAACCAAATTGAAATCAGAAAAATGAATAAATTAAGTACAAGAACTAGCATATATACCCCTATGTCCCAATTTATTTGTCCCTTTCACTGTGTGTATGGCTAACAGGAATCCTTTTTATTCTTTCGGTTTGTGTATAATTCTTTTATCATATTTAAAATTAGTTTTTGTGGTATAACAGAAGCTAAAGTTCAGTTCCTAAACATGTAAATTTGCAGCCAACCGAATTCCTATTCATTATCTATTTTTTAGTATCAAATTTTTATGACAGCTGAATTCAGTTTAGTGGTTCAATGGAGTTAAAGCACAGTTCCTAAACATGTAAACTTTTATTATTCATACTAATTTAATTGTTATCATGGAAGAGTTAACTTTAACTTCAGCCCACCCTCATAATCCGAAGTGGAAAAAACAAATTGGGATGGACGGAATATATGCTAAATACAGAGTATTTAATCAAGAAAACATACTCTCTGGATGTAACCTCCACAATAAGCGGGAACATGGAAACCATGCCTTCAGAAGCAGCGATCTCCGGAACTCTACAAAATGCAGAAAACACTACGATAGATAACTGCAAGTATGCATCTCGGTTCTCATCACCTCCACCTCCTGAACTTCCTTTCCCCATCCCTAACAACATCAAAAAGAATTATAAGTATTTACATTGTTACTCAGTAGGTGGTGATGACTCAGCTTGTATTGGAAATTTTATAAGAAAATAGCATACAATATTATAATAATACTAAGGGAAAGTTCCCGAAATAGGACTAAAACAGTTTGAAAATTCAAAAATAGGACTGTCGTGTTTTTTATTCCCAAAATAGGAGTAATTACTGCCAAGTTTGAAAAATACTGCCATGTTTGAAGTTTGATACTGCCAAAACATGGCAGTAATTAGTCCTATTTTGGGAATAAAAACAGGGCAGTCCTATCTTGGAATTTTGAAACCTTTTTAATCCTATTTCGGGTAATATTCTCTAATACTAATCTTATATATAGAGTGAAAAATAATAATCAAGTAACCAACAGTAACAAGCATAATCCATAAAACATTTAAAGAATATCTCATCATCTAATCAATCCCAACTGCTTCTATCCCAAACTAACCATCACTCAGTTCAAGATCTGAAATATCGCCTTCTTTCTCCATGTCTACAACACATCTTGAGTGAGAATTTATAGTGTTACACTTTTACCGTTATACAAGCTACGAAAAACCATAAAAACATTTTTTTAATTTCAAAATGACCCAATTTTCACATTTAACTACGACTGTGTTGCTTTTTGAAAAAGGGGACTCACTAAGTCGCTAAAGTTGCCATTACTCACCGAGTAACCGGGTTTTAATGAAAGAGAGTAGATAGACAACTCGGCAGGGCTTATGACTGAGTAGTTATTACTTATTACTTGACGATTGCTTACACATTAAATATCATAGGGTGGATTTTATGCGAAATGTGAATGTCCAAAACATATGCCGAGAATCATCGATTGCATCTCCGTTATAAAATTTAATTGCATAAATTTGAACATTACCAGTCTGTAAGAGGCGGTGCATAAATTGTGGTCCTACCGCATCATAGACCTTCTGAATAGCAGTGTGGTCATCCTTCCCACATAGCTTTGCTGCCAATAGCAGACCAGCTAAACGCTGCTCGTCTCTCCCCCCTCTAAGGAGACTCAAGCAATCATTAAGGGACTGTGCATGAGGCTGTTGAGAGTTAGGTGAAGTTCCACTACTCGAAGCTATGCTTTCCTGCCATTCCAGAAAAAAAATGCAAATATAGTTGCAAACGAAAAGAAAAAAAACTGTAAGAATATTTGTAAAGGAGAAATGAAGTTACCATTGGAGAGGAGTGATCGCAAAACAGGCAGAAGTTGGCGGAAAGTAGAGAAAACTGTGAAGGAACGTTCCAGAAAATGTGGAAGCTTCGTCACGATGTGGTGGAAATGTGGAATCTATATCAGTGTATCTATAAATACACAATGTGCCAAGATGAGTTTTATAAGACCTTTATGGAACTTGCTTTGAATCTGCTGCTATAAATAACACCTTTATAGTCCTAACTCTGCTCACGGCTCTTTTGTCAAACAGATTTTGTTTTTACCTGTCTATCTCCACAAAAATCTGACGTAGCTTTAAGGTATGAAGCCAATAAGGTCAAATGACTATATGTTGTCTAATTTTACGAAGCCCTGCACAAGAAGAGGTGGTTAGCAGTTCTCCAAATTTATGAAGACCTGCAGATGAAAAGGTTAGAGCAGAGATCTTTTAGATCATATATCCATATATTTTACATCTCTAATACATGCACCATTGAGCATTTCTTATTTCATTCTTGCTGCATTCTTAGAGAGTATATATGATTGTCAATTATCAGAGAAGTCATCCAGTTCATCCTACCAACTAAAATTACCCAAAAAATAAAAAAACTATATGTTGCAATAAAAAACGAATTCAATGTGACTTTTCCCTTTTTGGAAGTAGATTGAGACATTGAGTAGCCATCCTACCTACTAAAATTACCCAAAAAAAAAAAACTAATCAATATTTTATTTTAATTCATATAATTCATATTAATATTTTAAAAAATTCACAATTTTCTATTTCACAATTGAAGGCACACAATTACACAAATCAATTGTGACACACTAAGTCACTAACACAGACTAATTGAACAAATAAAATACTTAATTAATCAAAAAATTGTAAAAAAAAAAAAAAAAATATTACCTTGGCTCGGATGAGCAGAAGGAGACAAGCAGTGAGCTTGAAGAGAGGAGAGGAGAAACGCCAAATTGATTGTGTCACTCAAGCCATAGCTGCGCACTCAAGCCAGAAGAAGACAGCAGGCAGCAGCCATAGCTGCGCAGTTCGTAGTCCGCAGACCGGAGCAGGAGCAGAAGGCGAGTCAGAGAGCAGCTTAGGGACTAGGGTGCGTCTCCGGAGAGTCTGCGAGCAGACGGCGACGTCCGGCGGTGCTGGCTGAGGCGTGCTGCGTGCGTCAGGTGACTTAGGTGCCGGGTTCGTGAATGATGGCCGATGCCCGTCTCTGGACTCTGGCTATGCTGCGCAAAGCACGCTTCTTTGTGGAAATTACCCATTTAGATCACTTTTATTCATTGAATTTCATTTATGTCACACGCCTTCTTTTCTTTCACTTCTAGATTTTCGCTTTATCACTTTTATCTTTTTTATTTCAAATATGGTCTAACCGACTCTCGGATACTCTATTTAAATCTCTGCAAATTCCTCCGACTCTGCAAATTCTGGACTGAGCGGAAACATTCCCTCTTCGCCTTGAACAAATTTCCGGCGCTACTATGCGCACCTCTAATCGGAAATTCACATAGCTTACGATTCTGATGTAAATCTTCTCCTTGTCTATCTTCCTGTAATCGCTTTAGGACGGAACACGCCCGTAGAAAGAGCCAAAGAGGACAAGTTCGGACTTGTACCAGATCCGATCCTCCATTGGCCCGCCTACAGTCCCGATTACCTTTCACCGACGATACTTCTGATCAACGAAAAAAAAGTTTCGGTGCTCTGCTTGAAGAAAGAAGTTTGTAGATGTTCTCTATGAACAAAATTGAGGTACACAACACTTTGTTAATACTTGATAAGGTACAGAATTACTAAAGCCGAATATATTGAGTTGAAAACAGTGGTTAGACATGGAGTAATTTATTTTTATTATTGAATTACTCCTAAGTGTGTCTGCTAGAACTTTTTTAAACGTGTCTAGAACTTCTAATTTAAAAGCTTGATTAGTGTGATTGATTTATTTGGATGTTTTGAGTATGATTAGTTTATCTGCGCTTTTTGAGATTTATCTGTGAAGCAAATTATAACAAATGGTTGAATTTAGTAGTACGAGCAGTAATGTGTTGTATATCAAAGTTTATTTATTTGTTTATCATTCACAATGATGATAAAAAACACCATTTCTGCTTCTAATTATCAGTGATTAGGAGGGGTGTTTTTATTAACCGAGCATATGTGATATTATATGCATAAATAAATCTACTGTATCTTTAATTATTTTTTAGTTTTACCTATACTTTTCCTCTGCACAAAAAATAGGTCAAGGGTACAATAAACTCAAAATATTAAGTACTCTTTATTGGCTTCTTTCTCTTCATCGTCAATGAAATTGGAGTCAAATTTTAACGAAGATGTCACAGTATATGTTGATAAGAATATGATCTTAAGATGTCATAGTATTTGTTGAGAAGAATATGACCTTAAGATGTCATGGTATTTGTTGATACGAATATGACAATTTTAGATGATTGTCATTGATGATTTATATTATTAACACATGAGACGTCATTCGTTGAACCAGAACCTGCTATGCAGGGGAATCCCTACCTCTGCTTTGACCATTGACATAATCTCATTAGCAAAGGTTCATTTGTCTCTTCATTGGTTATTTTCACTACTCTATTCAAGTAAGATATAGTTTATATCAACTTTGTGGCGCTTTTTAGAGGTAGGAAATGAAATCCTCTTCGTTAGAGGTTAGATAGTTGCGATTACAGAGAGGTGCAACATGTTGTGGACTAGCTTATGTTCACTCCTCTTTTTCTTTTGCTAGTAAAAGAGTGCAAGATGTTTCTAAATGTAAAACTTTGTTTTTGCAGGGACAGAAGGTTGTTCATGGTAAAGGTGAAGCACTTGCTTCTTTTCGCTTTTAACCATAACTCATTTAATCAGAGAGTTTTAACTATAACTCATTTAATTAGGGAGCTTATTTGTAAGTTCCAATACTAGCCAAGGAAGTCTGTACTAGTATGCTAGAAATAATAGGATTATTCTACTTTCGTGGTCTAGTCAAACTAAACCGATCTATTTTATTGAGGTGGTAAGATACTAAGTTCAGATCTTTGGTTTTTTCAGGATCAGTGCAAAGAATATTCTTCAGACACTTTACTTAGGGGAAAGAATCAGGGCTTCTAGGCTCTTGTTAGAGTTTGGGCAAGGCTGCCTGATCCATTGATCAGGATGAAAGTGAATTGAACTCCTAGAAGTCATTCATTTATGCTAGTAATCTTTGCAATTACGTATCCTGGTGTTGTATGTATCTTTGCAATCACATAACTTATCATTGTTTGTGTCTTTTTTAAAGCTTATACTTTTTCCCTGGATTTATGATTTCAGGCACTTCGTTTGATGAATATTGTGAGAGATGACCCTATTATATGCTATTTTCTACCTATATACAACAAGGGTGATAGCAAGACTCAGAGAATCAATGGGGAAAAGAAGATAAGAGAGCCAAGCATAAGAAGCTATGCATTAAGATGCATAAATAGAAGAAGAAATGATGAGAAGCAAAGCTAAATAGCATACTCAATGAATGTAATAAAATGAATTATATATTTATTGCGATAGTTTTATATGTTATTTTTTGTTTCTTTTTGTTGTAGTATATGTGTTTCTTTTTGTTGCATTGTGTTTCATATTGTTGCATTGTGTTTCATATTGTTGCATTGTGTTGCTTATTGTTGTTTATAGTTGATTATGATTTTAGTTTATTTACCTTTCTACTTATCTTCACTACTTGTTTGGCAGAAAAACATTTATAGATATTCAATCACATAAAATAATAAATTTTGGTTTATAAATCTCAACAACAAGAAATATAAATAAACAATAAAAAACAAATTATGCAAAATTTGCAACAAAAATAAACATAAAGAAACATAAAGAAACAACGTGCAACAAAAAAACAAAAAAAAATGATAACAAGAATTAAGCTATGTAACACCCCCACAAAATTAATAAAATCATGATTATAGTTATTTCCCATTTTCAAGAGCTTATTTTTCAGTTTTTTATTAATAATTTTTATGATTTTCTTTTAGTTTTTTTAAATTTAAACATTTATATTAATTTCTTAAGTTTTGATTTTTTTAAATATTTCCGGTTCTTAAAAGTTTACACTTTTCAATTTATATATTTATTTGAATTATATATATATATATATATATATATATATATATATTCATATATTCTATTTTTAAAAAAGCAATCTTTCAAAAACAATCTAATTACTTTTTATATTTTTAATACTTTCAGAACATTTTTATATTATTTTAAATTTTCGTAGTTGTTTTTGAAATTTAACTTATTGGTTCAATTGACATTTATTACAATTTTTTTGAATTTTTTATTTTTTTTTATTTTTTACTTATTCTATTTTAAAAGTCTTAAATAGGCCACTTAAGATACAGAACTTAGATCCTGGAACTATGCGCCACTACACACTAATGACACTATAGATACGTAGTTTAAGTTAATCACTCAGGGAGCAAAGATACAGAACTTACATGCTTCCAAAGGAGTACGCACGGAAGTACGATCTATTTGTGAAAGCAAAAAGTTTAACTTGTCTAATTTTGAAAAAAAACTTGTGATAAAAGTGATATTATTTTCACTTATAAGTCTATTTGCGATAATTTCCCCGCTTCTTTTCCTTTCACTGTACTGGAGCTGGGCTGGTTTTTTGCACTGGGCCATAATTTTTCTATACTGGGTCAATTTCATTTTTGCATTGGGCCAATTTCTAAAAAAATTGAACTATGTATATATAATACAAAAAAATGCCCTGGGCCACGTCCCAGCCAGGCCACCCCCTCCCACCGCCTCTGGTTCTACTTTGATTACGTTTTATTTATTAATGTATTCATATATATTTTTATAAAAAAATACTGTTAAATTTGTCTCATTGTATATTTTCAAATTTTTTTTTTTAAATTTTTTATTAATAGAGAATTATATATATTGATGGTCAAAGTTGTGTCTCGGCAAATATGAAAAGTTGACCATTGCACTTATTTAAGAACAGAGAAGTACACTAGGCACACAAAACATGAAAAAATAGGCCTAAATTTAGCTTTTCATAATAGGAGGGGTGTGACAACGCTGATTTTTTCGGGTGGAGTTTTTTTAGATTTGTTAGGGTGGATTTTTTGAAGACAAATAATGATATGGACATGTTCTCTAGTGTAGAATATCTAAAAAAAGTAGTTTAAAGTTCAACTTAGAAGTTAGTTAAATAAATTATTAAAAAAACATTACATTTTTATGCATATTTTGGCGCAGTGTTTTTCAATAATTTTTGTAGCTGACTTCTCAGTTAAAATTTAAGCTGAAATTTGTGGACACAGTCTACGCTTGATGAAAAGTATGCTCATAGAATTTTATAAAAAAAACCACTAGAAATCAGATTATTCTGATATGATTAATTGATCAGTTTATTTTGTTGATTTTGTTAGAAAAAGAAAATCAATTATAATTAAGCTTATAAATTTAATTAATTTCAAAGTGTAATAAAAATGATTGAATCTGAATATGAAAAAGAAAAACGAGGAGCAAATTAAAGAAAGTGGCGCTAAGTAAAAAGGTTATGTTCAATAGAAAAAATTGTTTGTGTAAACAAGTCAAGCTCTGAACTAACTCCTCAAGATGAGAACTCATAGAAAAAGAATGATTTAGCTACCGTTCCAATTTTATCGGATGTCCCCGAGAGGACATGATTTAGCTACCGAAAATGAAACGATTCTCAATGATCACATCTGTTGGTCCCAGTTTAGCAGACTAACGATCAGCTAGATGAACATCATCGATAGACAGAAGAGAAAGATTTCATATAATGATATAAGATTTATCGAGAACAGTGAAACCTTCTTTCTGTAGTATCGAGAAGTAAATTTGGCAGCGTAAGGCTAATGTGTATTGATCGATATCGGTACCTGTACACAAGGCGCGTATTTATAGGCGCTGTACAGGTTACCGATTTAGGTAAACCTTGGAAGTTGGGCCAAGGCCTTTTTGGGCCTTATTCCCTTTACCTTATTTGCTACATAATAAATACTAATCTAATACCATAAATGGTATAACTAGTCTACTTTATTTAAACAAGACATTACAGACAAACTTGACCCACAATAAAAGTTCTAACAATCTCCCCCTTTGTGGTCAAGTGCCGTCTTGCTGGGTTTCTTCACTTCTGAGCTTTGTAGTAGTTCTTTCTGAGATTAAGTGCGTGCTCATAGCTCCTGAGTGAATTTCGTTTATCAAGTTGTTTTTCAAT